GGGGGGGGGGGGGGGGGGGGGGGGGGGGAGGGTGAGTGCGAGGCCCGCCGCCCCCCCCCCCCCCCCGGTTAGGAGAACTGGGGGGCAAGGAGGTGAACGTACGCCTTTGTCTGCCTTCCGCCACGTCGCTGCGAGTGGCAGACCTGGGAACGTGTCTGCGTCTGAGCTCAGTGAGACATCAGCCTAGAACATCACTGCGGATCACGCATCATGCAAGACCTTTTAATTAGCCGTCCGTGCAGTTTGGCTCCACTCAGAGCCATTTCCAAGACCCACTAGGTTTTGTTAGGGCGGTAAATACTTTTGCACATCTGGGGGGGGGGGGGGGGGGGGGGTGGAATGACTGTCGGTCTGTAGATTAGATAGCTGGGCAAACGAATGTGCTGCTGCATTTCACAGAAGTGAGTGTGGAAAGAGAAGCAGCGTGTGACTCTTCGTGCCACCGGGCTTATGTCACGCATGTCGGTATTTTTGTTTACATTTCCATAAGTGAGTCTGTGTTTCATGCCGGTTTCCTTTTCACGGTGTTTACGAGACCTGCCACTCACAGACAAGGAAATTCACTTAAATTTTACAGTTAAGTGTTGAGGCAAGATTCCTTTTTTTGTCTGCAGATGTTTTTCAGAGTAATGAGATGGGGAATATTCAGATTAATCAGTCACGCTTTGCACATGTAACAAAATTCCACTCGAGGCAAAAAAGGACGGCCGCGTGTTTTTTCACCGGGACTTGTTCTGATGGATGCAACACGGCCCCCCGTTCCTCTGGAGGAACCTAATCGAGACGTGGATAATTGTGTCCGCATGCAGCGGCTCCTGGGAGAATTTGAGTAGCAGCCTGTCAGCAAGAAATTTTTCTATCAGAGTGTACATATCCACACCGTTGCACGCGTCTGGTAATGCCCCCCCCCCCCACACCCCACCCCTCCCGCGCACCTCCGCAAACTCCCAAACTGTTCGGCGGCAGCCTTGACAGGGGGGCGATGACGTCATCACGCCTTTCACCGTCAGTCATCCTTCCTTTTCGTCTTCGCCGCCCGCGTGTCACAGGCCCCAGTGCCGCTGAGTAATGACGCCTGTCAAATCCCTGAGCCTTGTCTGATGACATTGTAATGGGTGCATCCATTCAGCGGCGGAAATGGGGCTGGTTCAGGCAGGGACTTTGTGCACGGATCTGGCAGCGGCCAGCAGATAGCCCTTGTTGTTACTGCGTTTGGATTTCAGTTTGAAGTCTTGTGCAACATCATAGGGCAAGAGACTATCAGGGCAAAAGACTCTGTTATAAACCCTGTGAATTATATGAATCCTAAAGGCATTACTAATAGGCAATGCAGTGTTAGAATCAATGCCTGATCGATCGAGCTACTGGATACATAAATGGACAATGGTCAGTATAGTTGTAACGGAGGCGACCTGCTTTCGTGCAGGACGCTGTGGATGATACTGAAACCAAGTACATTGTTGTTTTGCTCCTTTCTTACTAAATACAACTAAATCCTGCAAACTGGGACGGCTAAGAATGTTTCAACAAAATGCCGAAAGTCGGCATATTGCAGCATGAACAGTGTAAACATACCAGTTTACTAACCAACAGATGCGCAGGAAACGTGATAAATCGGCATTTTTATGCCCGTACTGTGTCTTCTGGGGGAGGGCTTGATTCACGAGGCTTGTCCGGTCGGCTTACTGAATCAATACTACACGAGTACAGTAGCCGTGTACAACTAATTTAGCATCTGCGTTTCGTAAGTCCCCTGGATCCGGCCCGACGTCAAAAAAAGGCGTCCGTCTGTGCGACATTAATAGCCATTTCTGTTTCACACCTGCTACCCGTAAATTAGCCAGAATCTTCTTCTGGAATGGTGAGCCATACAGAGCATCTCAGCCCTTCCTTGTTTGCGATGCGTCTGCGCCTACCAACCCGAGACAAGCAGCTCATAATTACATTTGTAGCACATGAAACTAGCGAGAGTATCTATGGGAGTTTTAGGTAAAATGACGGTAAAATGTGCTTCTGTGCTGCACAGCATCTTGGGACAGCGAAGGGGGACTTTAACCTACGAGGAATAGCCATGACGTGTGCCTCCTCCTAATCAAAGCTAATTTTCTTTTTTAAGCCACCAGAATTTAAGATTACTTAATGCGACTAATTAGAGATCCCAACAGACATGTGAAAATGAACCACATACGAGATTCCGCTCCATCAGATAGATGCTAAATGCGGCGTCTCCATCACCAACCGCATATCAGCTGCGCTGTGGAGCGAAGCCCTCGGCGTCCTTCTTTGTTTCTTTGTTTGTCTGTCCTGGGTGCTCAAAAAGATGGATGCTAACCAGCAGCGTGTATCTGCCAGGACCTAAAACACTCTGGATGCCTGTAATGTATCAATGCCCTGAACTGCGTCGTCTTTCGACGTTGGTATGGTCCCAACGCGGGCCCACACGGTCGATTGCGGGAGGTGTGTCCTTCAGCTTTAAGAGGTAATATTAAAGCAAATGCACTGTTTTTTTTTTTTTTTGTTTGGATCAATACCTCCCACTCCGAATTAAAACCGCAGTACAGCTAAGCCACATGGCCGCCCCGTAAATCAAAGCACACTTAAAACACCCAACGTCCACCACTCAGAGCAGCATGAAATGAAGGTCATCCATCAGGATTCGGCCCTTCGTTTTCACTTCGGAGGTAGTCTTTAACCTCCGCGCATCCGCTAGCCCATATGTTGCGGGGGGTCGCGCCATCGGCTGCGTTCTGTTCGGCGGGCATCGACCGCCTGATTTAGCATGCGGATTTCGAGCTTGCCAAACGGCGAGAGCAGCCACTTCTAAAGCTCTTCAAAGCCGTCTGGCCTAACTACTGCAGCTGCCATTACTGACTGTTAATGCCTTGTGAAGTTCACACAGGGAGGTAGTGAGATTATTTGGGGGGGTGTGTGTGTATCTTTGGGGTGTGCAGTTTTCTTGCCTCTCTGCATCACTGTAGATGCAGCACTTATACCGATGTATCAGGCCCCCACTTCTCCTGTTCCTGTTCACATAACCAGGCTGTTTGCCTAATGCACTGAGTTCAAATATTAAACAAATATCTGTATTAAATATTTAACAAACCAACACCCATAAGAGAAAAATGACAGCCGAATAGCATCGTTTTCGGCTGGAAAAATGCTGCAGAAGCGTGTTGAAGAATCATCCACGACGGGTCTGTGTTTCAAGCCGGATTAGCAAATCCAAGAGATTGATCTCGCTCTGACAGATACAAGAATGAGGCTGACGTTTAGTCACATTTTAATTGAACCCCCCCCCCCCCCCCCATTTTCCTTCTGCTGGGGTGTCTAAATGCGTTCTCTCTGAGGAGGTGCTGACATCACCGTGTTAAGATGATGTGAAGCGTTTCTCACGCCGAGTGGATTGGGGTCCGGTCCGGTGCTTACGGTTTTGACAAGGAAAAAAAACATCTACGGGGTTTGAGGAAACAAGCTGACAGAGAATGTGTGACAGCAACGTTTTTTTTTCCCAAAACAAAGAGTTTACCGCCGTCGTTATATATGCATGTCGTATCTTTCCACAGACCGATAAAATGCTGAGGTTATCTTTTTAAATCATCATCAGATAATATCACAAGCATCAGTATTGTCAGCGTAGGTTTCCCTTCTCTTTGAATTTAAACATACTTGAAGATAAAAAAGAATTCAGCAGAGAAGCACAGAGACTTCAATAGTTAATGAAATGATCTGCCGGAAATGTGCAACCAGCCATGTTGAAAACGGCCTTATTAATGTATATCTGTGCAGAGGGGAGACCTCGTTTGACTCCGAGGCAGAGATCCAGTTCGTTCTCCCTGATTTAATTTACATAAGTGCTTTAAAATATGTATTGTCACCGTAGAAGGATGTTGGCCTGAACTGTGCATGTCCTGTCAGATCTGGCAGGAGACTGGAGGCAATGAATAAATTAATTATTAGCAGGTGGTGAGGTAAACTGCTGGGGATATCATGCTGTTGATGTTTTGTCTGTGGTGGATAATTCCGGAAGATTTAAAAATATTTTTTTAAATGATCGTCTGGTAAAGGATAGGGGGAGGAGGGAGGGTTAGGAACACAGACTAAGCTGGATCCCTTCAGCAGGCAGCAGGAATAGGGTTCCAACCCTAACACCCGGATAACTGTATTCAAATAAAATAAACTGTCACAAATTAGGTTGGTAACAAAGGATGAGCAGGTTTTGTTTTGTGTATCCATTTTTGGGCCTTCTAAGTGCACACCTATGCCTGTGCATAAACAGACATAAAATATTTCTGCACTTAATCACATAGGATTCGCCTCAACCGGGATGTTAGTTTCTTTGTATCAAAGTAAGTTTAATTAATATTCCTGCAAGACCATTTTTTCCCTTAGGGCTTCAGAGGGAGATTTGGGTTTCTCAGTGGGGCTGGACTGTCATTTACAGTGCTGCTCTGTAGAGACAAAGCATATTGTCACCACAGCCTTGGTTTAAAAATAATCTTGCCCCAGCAGTTTTTTGGAAAAAGTTGTTAAAAGACAGCAAAATGGGGGTGGGGGGGAATCAATCTAAATACATGTGATGTAGCAAAATGGGAACCACAGGGGGCAACGTGTGGAACGTATTTAGGTCAGACTGCCTTCTCCATGAAAGGGATCAGTGAATGTAAGTCACCAGCACATCAAACAAAACAGTTTCCAAATACTACCTGCCATGTGACTGAATACAAAAAAACCTTTAACCTTATTTATTAATAATTTCTCCATTCATCCATCCATCCTCTACCCGCTTATCCAGGAGCCTGTCTGAGGCTGGATAGAGCACATGGGAGACGGGAGGATAGACCTTTTAAGGGCACACAAATGCA